CTCGCTAGCTGGCTAATGACAGAGCAGCATATCATTAACCTCTATATCTGTGCATTTAGATCACCATTTCCAAACAGTTATTTGACATATTTGCACAATGCATGCTGGATGTTGTAGTGAGAGAACATTGATGTGTGTATAAACAAATAGGATGCAAAATTGTGAATACTGTCAAACTCACTAAAGGATGCAATGCAATCTTACCTAGATAGATAGATAGATAGATAGATAGATAGATAGATAGATAGATAGATAGATAGATAGATATACATAATGCATAACTCATGGTTAAAACTTTTTGTGCTGAATTAGAAAATTCCTTAACCTCACCTAAGCTCAGGTTGCACATGCTGATCTATTTTACTAAGACCACCATGGATATGCATGCATCCCACACACACACACACACACACAGAGTTAAATGTAGCAGCTGAGCCAATCAAAATCCCCATTTCAGCTGAGGGGGTGGAACATTCCCCAAACACTAAAGCCTTCATGTTCAGTGAGAGGAGCTGCAACTCACTCATCCAGTATAAATGCTTTACTGCGATACACAAACTAATGCACTTAGCCACAGCTTATGTTATTACACTATGTGTATTTACTAAACATCAGTTTTAATATTTCTTGCTGCTACCTTTAAGGACTCTTTCACACCTACCTTGTTTGGTGCGGGCCTGCCAAACTGTTTTTTTAATTTGGTCCATTTTGACAAGTGTAAACACTCCACTTGTATTCAGGTCTGGCAAATAACTTCATCTCGGGCCGCCTCTAAATGAACTCTGCTTCAGTTTTTATGACTGTCCACACCAAAAACAACACACTTGGTATGCCTTTCTCACTGCATGTCAGTGCTGTACTCTCTGCATAATCTGTCTGTTTTAATATTGTTTTCTCTTTACAAGCGCCCATATTGTTTTTGTGCAGCATGACCTGTTGTGAAAAGAGACTGTTGTTCTCCAGAGATGGTAGCAAAGTTTGCTATCTGAGGCAAAACCCAGTGAAGTACAAGGTCAAAACAAACACTGACACTGTTCATGAATAATTATTATTGTTATTTATTTATTTATTCATTTATTTATTTATTTTTGAAACAATAAGTTTTGCTCCACCACTCTCCACTTTTGGACTTTTGGAAGTGTGGCACTACCCTGGCATGCAGTCTTGTTTTGCAGAAAGAAAACTATCCATTACAATTTTGCTGTTTTTGACTTTTTCCAGTCCAAAGTTCAGCCTCAAACCTGTTCAGAGCTTCAAATCAAATGTAAATGTAATTCACTGTCTAAATTCTGAGTATGTCCAATGAAAAAAAGCAGTGCAAAATGTCTGGTTTAATAATAATTCATTTGGAAATGGTAGTTTGGTAATGCACACTTCCACAGATTAACTGAGATCTTCCACATCTCCTCTTTTGTCTTCAGAAAATCAGTAGAAATTCATTCTTTCTGCCAAACTCTTGGGAAAACAGGGCAAGTTTTCAGAATTACCAATATCTTACCATATCACTGTAAAGCTTTTCAGAGAAATCCCAGCCATAGTTACAGTTGCTAGGACCACTGCACTACACTTGCTAGGACCACTGCAGCACTGCTGTGCCTAAGGGTGGCGCTGTAGTAAACTGGTCCACCCAGTTTACTACAGCGCCAACCTGAGGCAGAGCAGTGCTGCATCTCTTACTGGTTAAGAAGACCAAAGATAGAAACTTGCCAATTGTGGGTGAAGCAGGATAAACAATGACAGCATAACATCATCATATCCCCTGAAAATTCTGATTTTGAGACATTGAGGGGGTCCAAGAGGTAAATTAAGGGGGCCCTGAAACCCCAGCCCCCCTATATTTCGCACTTTGGTCATATTTATTCAAAACACAAAAATATATGCTACATAAAAATGTTGAAAATGATCTGGCCCAAAACCTAGTCTGAAACCCTAGACCGATCCCCTTCAGGCTTATATCAGGTAGCAGACCTCAATATATCATATATCATACAATATCTACCAAAAGTAAGGTCAATGTACAGTACTGTACATGTACACTGTATAATGTTCAACATGACCTTATTTGAAACGACTGTTGAATGTAATGTTGTGATTAGTGCGGTTACTCTGTCAGCCCTAGTAATTACGTTTAAATAGTATAACAAAACGATAATAATCACAACTTAAACCTCCAAAGTGAAATTTAAGGCACAGCTAGAGTTTCAAGCTAAACATTTTGCTTGAAGTTCCTCCAAGACTTCAGCATTATCATCAGTGTAGCGCTGAGTGCAGTGGCATGGAGGACTCACAGCTTGCAGTGCAACCCTGCTGCTGAGGAAGAAGAAGTCATGGATGATAAAGATGACGATGATGAGGCAGGCCTCCCCCGGGGCTTTTGTTTGCACACAGTAGTTGACATCCAGGAGGAGTCAGAGTCCTCCATGCAGCGACTCTCCCTCTGCTCGAGCACCCGCTGTTGATCCCTGCTCCACGGAGAAGGGAAACTGCATGGTTAAGGAGCTGGTCATGCCTGTGCATATAATACAGGGCTCAGGAGAGAGAGAGATAGAGAGAGAGAGAGAGCGGAGATGTGCAAGAAATGAAGATGGGGTGCAGAAAATAAAGGGAGAAAGCATGAGGGACTAACAAATGGACTGGAAAAGTGTGAGCAGAAAAAGGAGCCACTAGGAGAGATAGAGCGAGAATAAGAAAACAAGATTTCCACACCTGTGCAGAATGAGAAAAGTTGTTGAATTAATAAAGCGTGAAGTTTTTGCCACTATTTGAGCTGATGGACTGTCTGCCCAGTGCTGTTTCATGTCTGCTGTATCAGAAGCTCAAAAGCAGAGAATCAAAATGCTGCACAAATCAAGCTGGGCTAGTGCGACTCCTGCAGCAGCATTTAAGCGTGTTCGTTTCGGTGATTTACAGCCCCATCAATGCAAACAAGGTTCAACATAAAACAAAGAAACTAAAAACTGTGGCCTCACTGCTTTAACTGTGAGGCAATCTGCAGCCAGAGCCAACACTGAGAGTTATTAACTGACTGTTCTGTTTAAACACTCTAGGCAAACTCAGGCCAGCTCAATAGGCATCATTCAGGATCATCCCTCAGAGAAGGACTAATGGTTTCTGAGAACTAAAATATTTTTGTTTTTATTTAATAGAATCATCATCAGGGTCACCTGGGATTCTCTGCTCTCCCAACTGCTACCGCGACCCTATCTGGACTAAGCGGTTAATGATGATGATGATGATGATGATGATGATGATGAATCATCATGCTTGTTGTTTTTAAAATTTAGGTTTGCAAAAAATGGGTTAAAATCTAAAAATGTTCAGTCAGGATTTTTTCCCTGTAGTATATAGGTAGATACAGCCAAGTGAGCTCGCCTATTGGTTAGACCTTCAGGAGCTGAACCACAGGCTTTACATATTAGATTGATCCAGCCTATTTAGAAAGTGATGAAGGAATCAACCATGTTTTGATTTCCAGTGGGTCACACATCATTTGAGGGTTCTGGAAGTCGCTTTACACACATAACTGCAACCATGAGAGCTGACCTGGGTTAAATTAAAATAAAAAAAAAAAAAAAAAGGAAAAGAGAAAATATTTTACAATCTATTAAAACTGATGACAGACATTTAATTTGGGGGGAGGAAACTGAAATAGGAGAAGGAATCATGGGTGAAGTCATATATATATATATATATATATATATATATATTATATATATATATATATATATATATAATAATTTTATTATTATTATTATTATTATTAGTAGTAGTAGTAGTATTTTATTATCATATATCACATTTGTGATAAAGTCAGTGACCCACCAGAAGCTGAAATTGACCCAAAATGTGTTCAAATGGCGGGCGGCATGCTGTCGCCTCACAGCAAGAATGGCCTGGGTTCGATTCCTGGCCGGGCGACCGGGGTCATTTCTGTGTGGAGTTTGCCTGTTCTCCCCGTGTCTGCGTGGGTTTCCTCCGGGTACTCTGGTTTCCTCCCACAGTCCAAAAACATGCAGTCAGGCCAATTGGACGTGCTAAATTGCCCCTAGGTGTGAGTGTATGTGTGAATGTGTATGTCTGTCTGTCTGCCCTGCGATGGACTGGCGACCTGTCCAGGGTGTATCCTGCCTTCCGCCCAATGACAGCTGGGATAGGCTCCAGCACCCCACCGCGACCCAGAAGGATAAGCAGTTTAGATGATGGATGGATGGATGGATGGATGTGTTCAAATGTAAACATCTGTAACAGGGTGAAAAAACATCACATATTTCTTAAAATAATCTCTACATCTAATATATCTTCTATCAACTTGTATCATATATGAACACTCTTGTTGTCCTTAAAATGTCCTGTAAAATGAGCGTTTTTCATTAATAATTGTCAGTATCTTCTTACAGAGATACCTTTTTGAGATATTACATGCACGTTTGGTCTCATTTATTTTGGTCAGCGACAACACCAAACACGCTGCACTCTTCTGCTGCTTCTCTCACTGTATGTGCTTGTGTGTCCTTGGGTTGCCAGCTATTCAGCAACAGGATCAATATACATTTATAGGACAATTGGTTTTCATTTTCAAACAGTTTTTCCACGACTGCGGCACATTTGAAAGAATTTCAAACAAAAATGTACCCCACGACTACAATCCACCTGCATTGCACTTTCAAACCGACCAGATTTTTTGGAAAACAGCAAGTCTGACAACCCTGCGTGAGAACCCATGAATGAAACACGCGTGTAGACGGTGTTTCTGGTTGCCATAGCGACCATACCCTAAAATCCCCACGGTAAATGCAGTTTCACAAGAGCAACTATTTTCAGACTTTGTGCTAGGATTGGGGGGATCTTCAGTTTTGCGAGTGGGGGTGGAGATGGGGGGGGTGACCCAATCCCCCCCATACATGGTGCCTCTGCCTGCAACATAAATGATTTTATATCGTTGAAAAGCCTGTCCTTGTGCTGCTGCTGTGAGTAACTGTAGGATTTTCTCTCTCTGACAGACAGCAGTGCGAGTATCATTGCGCGGCGGTGGGGTTTCAGCCAGGCCGAGCAGGAGCTGCACCAGCTGGCGGTGGTGGTGTGGGACGGAGGAGAGCCTCAGCTCAGCAGCACCAGCACCCTGACGCTGCGGGTGTGTCCATGCCGGAGGGGCCTCAGAGTGCCAGTCTGCCAGCCGCAGGCCTTCTTTTCCTCTGCAGGTCTCAGCACAGGAGCGCTCATCGCCATCCTGCTCTGCATCCTCATCCTCCTGGGTAAGAGAGTGTGTAAAACGTGAGGAGTCCCTCCCTCGGTACCACAAATGTAGTTGATTAGCCAAAATAAGTTTCTTTCTTCAGTTTTTACTGGAGCTATCAGGCTAATGTAGCAAGCAAGAAAATGGACTTGCTTATGTGGTTTTTGACACTATATGACATACTGTTATCTGTAAAAATGGACAAAAGTGTGTTGCATAGCTAAAAGCAGTAGCATGTGAGGCTTCCAAGTGGTGCAACTAAAGCTGGTAGAAAGAACTAGACACAATTAAACTACTGACATCATAAGTATGCCTGAAAACAACCCAGTATATGTAGGAGGACCACTAGAAGTCTGCTTTTTGCAATGGACCAATCACAGCTAGAGGGAGGTTTCACTACAAACAACCCAGTGATTAGGAGGTTTGTTTAGCAATTAGCACACACTGCACCATCTGACCTCAGTTCAACATATGTTTTGGACATTTTGCTTCAGAACGCTGTATTAATTTAAAGTAGACTGCTGAAGTGTTGGCCCAATGGTCAGCAGGTTGTGAGTTTCATTCCCAGTGATGCCACTGCTATTCTGGGCAGGTATCCAAAAGAGCATAATGAACCTCATCCATTTTGGGTAGGATGGCCATGCCCCCTGCGACCCCATCACTTAGCACGATGCAATCCAATGCAGGCTTTTGTTAGCACAACTGTGTTGTAGTCAAGAGACCAAGACCAGATTAAGATTTATTCGGAATAAAATGGTCTCAACATTGGTCTCAACAACTATTTCCCAGTCGACCGTACGCCAAGACTAAAACAAGGCCGAGTTCAAATGATGCTGAGACTGAGATAAAGGTGAGACTGCTGAAGCACGGACACACTACATGACTTTCACAGTCGTCAGATTGCTGTACTGTTCACCCTGCACAGCTTGCTGTCCTGTAATTGGGAATCTTGAAGTCATTGCGGTTTGCACACTACATGACTGATCAGCAACGGGGTCTGTCTGAGTCTGTCTGATCTTCAACCTACATTTTGTCACAAAAACACATGTGAGAAGTGAAACCGGTCACACTACACGATTTGGACTGCCCAACAGGTCCAGATATTTCATATTTGCATCTGCAGGGCATCGGTGAGTCTTTCGCACATAGCAATTGAGAGCTGATTTGTGAGCCCTGAGCGTACATTGATTTGCCTCTGACCTGGGGCTTTTGGCAATCTTCAAAAACTGTCAGCGTTAAAAATCAGGGATAAAATTATGTAGTGTGAATGTAGCATGGTTCTAGTTCTGGTTATCATGACCGGCCTTGGTCTTTAGTATCACAACACTAGTAACAAAATTGGCAGTTAGCATTCTCGTCCAAACACTTTAAGCTGTCTAATGATGTAGCGTTAGTGGCAGAAAAAACATGGTGGCTCTTCATATGTCTTAAAGGAAGCTCATGCTAGCTTTTCTCTCAGCTTTGTAGTATCATGTGATGGGGGACCTAGCTAGCAGGTGGGAACTGGACACAACTAAATTGGTGTAAAAATTGGGTAAAAATCCCCAAAAAACACAAGAGGCCTAGATTTTGTGCAGTTGTTTTGCCATTTTTCATAGTAACAGTAAGCATGCAGTATATGTGATGCTAATTAGTGGAGTATAAGCTTCCATTACTTGTTAGCTACACTAGCCTAAAAGCTCCAAAGCAAAACTAATGGCACCAAACATGTGTTGACCAATCAACTACATTTGGGGTGATGAAGTAATTGTTTAACTTCTTCACATTGGAGGGAACCAAAGAGGAAAAAAAGGAGCCTCAGTGTAGGAGAAACAGAGGGGAAATAGGAGATGGCAGTGAAGGTGAGAGGAATGTGAGAGCATATAAATGTGTGTTAGGGCTATTCATTACTTTTAGATGTCATGTAGAGGTTTTACTAAACAGCAAGTTACATTACGTTACATATCCGCGGTGTCATGTGAAAAGAGGGACTTTCCAATAGAGGACAAAAATGATGCTTTTTTGCTCTTCTGGTCAATGTTAAATCCCTAAAGCAGCAGTTTTAATATCAACGCAGTGCTTTTGGAGCTCTTACACACAGATTAAACTCATCAGGTGATTCTCCAGGCCTTCAGTTGAGTCAAGTGAGCAAGACAAACAAAAAGCCCCCTGGGACTAAGATTCATACCTACTATCTTTAGCTGAATTTTTATGTAAAAAAGAAAAAAAAAAAAAGAAAATAGTTCAAACTGGAGCACTATTGGAATAATATATGGGAAATATTATTAACAATCGCACAGTTTTATTATATGAGATGATGTTCATGTTTGCTTTAATAAAGCTGAAGGACACATGCTTCTTGAATATTGCTATTCCATGCCAAAGGAAATTCTTTTATACCTTAAATAGGCTCTTTTGATTTCTCTTATATCCCTAGATGTTAATAGATCTTTAACCACTCATAGGCCCTGTATTGAGCTGATTGAGCTGTGTTGACCTGCTCTGATTACAGTTGAGACAATAACAAGTTGATGACCAATACATTTTCCAAACACATTTTGTGGCATGATCACTAACAACAGTACACTCAGCACTTTACCTACTCCAACACTTATAGTGGTAAAAACCAAACAAAAAATGTTTTAACAAGAAGACAGGTTGACATAAGCACAACAACCAATGCAAGTCGTCCTTATAAAGCATGCATATGCTTAGCACAACAACATTTACCCCATTGCAGATCGCTTAAAATGTATATAACAAAGATGTAGAAAATGACACCAACAAGGTAAAAACTCTATGTTAAAGCATGCTTACATGGAGGGTGTGGAAAATGGACCATTTATATCTTACCTTGGATGACTTTATGCACAGAAGCAGATAAAGATGCCGATATGGATGACAAAATATTCTTCTTTAACACAGGTAGAAATTTCTTGACGTGTTTGGCTTTGGAAATAAGCATCCTCCACTCTGTTTTACAGAAAATGAAGTGAATGTTCAAGAAAGACAGGATGATCGGCCAAAACACAAAGACAAGACTGAAATTCGATTTTTTTTTATTATTATTATTATTATGCTGCTGGTAAAATTTCCGCTGCGAGTCAAGGCAGCTTTTCAGATTTTGTTGGCTCCTTTGTGGTTCAGGCTCCAGGGCATGCACCTATAAAAACATGGGATGGTCCAGGCTTGGATACATCATCGTATTGCAATGAATAAAACGCTGTGAGTCATTATCCTCGATATTGCCCTCAGAGCTACCTTCCACCTCATGCTACACCTAAAGTTATATTGTTAGAAGGCACTACAGGTGCTGATGTGAGGTTCCACCCTGCTGTGAAACCCACTGTTCTTCTCACCGTCTCTGACAAGGCCAAAAATAGAAACCTTTCTCTAGAGGATCCTGTTTCTCTACACGTGTAGACTACCTCTCCAAAGAGCAACAAGGTTTTACACAATGGGTATATAAATATACATTTCTCACCTATCAGCAGAGAATGAGAACGCTCACTGCAGAAGTGACTCTTATCTTATCTGGGAACGATACTTGGCTAAAATTAGCGCAGACAGAGAGTTGTAGAGTTGTACTTGGTAATGTTCACTTTTTCCTCAGGCAACATCAACACTGAGGAGCATAAGCCAATTTACCTGAACTGCAAGCTTGCAGAAAATAAAATAAAAATAAATAAATAAATAAAAACAGATATAATATGGCTTGGCCTAAGATTGCATGACATGATGGTTGATTTGTATAGAGAAAGATGAATAATTCAGTATTTGCTTCTGAGTAGCCCATCAGCCCATTTTAGATTAATGGAGAGATACAATGCGATTGATTTCACATCAACAGATGAGCAATTATGCAATTTTTTCCACAGACAAGTCTTTGCCTTAAGTATTTTCAAATGTCAAAGGCTAATTGTAGCCTCTTGCACCGTAACATCTGCATACTGGCATAATGTTGCTGCAACTGTGCTCATTTTATTTTACATTTTATTTTTACTGTGTTTATTGACGCATACCAGCCATTACTACCGTCTTGATACACTATTTAAATGTAATTACATATGTTTAAATTTTAAAAAATGCAATAATTATCAATAACACCCTGAGATTTAAAGTATTTATGGACAGATGCTATTCATTATTATGTTTTGATATTCTTTGTATATGTCAACGCACATATTTAAATTCAAGTATATGTAATGACAATCTATGACAATTCATTATTACATAATGCATTCTTTTCACATTTGATTATTGTGTTTATGGACACATACTAGTGATTGCGATTGTTTTATTTGATATATTAAATGTAGTTGCATATGTTTAATCTTAAATATATAAAAACAATCTATTACAACCTTAGTTGCATGAAGAATTACTTCTACATTTGACTTACAGTCGTCATTGTTATGATTTTACTGTTCATATACTGTTGAAATATAATTACACATTTATAAGTTTAACTACATAACACGTTATATATATATATATATATATATATATATATATATATATATATATATACACAGCAAAATTTACTGTTCATATACTGTTGAAATATAATTATACATTTTAATTTAAATATACAATAAGTAATAATATTATAACTTAATAGTTTGTATTATATATATATATATATATATATATATATATATATATATATATATATACATATAAGGCCCAAAATGAATCAGACAAAATTCTAGTTCCATTGACTTCCATTAAAAGTAAAGAAGGTTATTTCTTTCTCCTGTAAAGTTATCATTTTGGAGATACAAGGTTTTTTCCCAACAACAGCGATAAATGTAACAAACTGTGACACTCGTTAAGATTGTAGGTTTAGACCACAGAATGTCTCTACTTCAATAAGTTATTAGTGAGAAATAATTAAGTAATAAATAGGAAGAGATGTTTCAAGACACAAACTCTGTGGTGGACCCAACCTACATATCAATTTCTTAGCAGTTGAAGAATTTACAGTAGTTACAATCTTCAAAATCAATAATTGAACAATAACCTGCGTGTTATTGCTGTGGTACTGATCTGGTCTATTTTATCTCTTCCCATCAGCCATAGTGGTGCTGTTTGTGACCTTGCGGAGCAAGAAGATCAAGAAAGAGGCGCTCATCATCTCGGAGGAGGACGTGCGGGAGAACGTGGTGACGTACGACGATGAGGGTGGTGGGGAAGAGGACACAGAAGCTTTCGACATCGTGGCCCTGAGGAACCCCTCAGCTGCTGGAGAGGTCAGAAGGAGAAGGGGGGAGCCACACCCGGAGGTTTGGGGCGGAGCGGTGGGCGGGGACAGTCTGAGCCCGTCGCTGACCCTGCCCAGTCAGGACATTCATGATGTGATCCAGCTAAAGGTAATGGAGGCAGACCAGGACACCAGCGGACCTCCATACGATTCCCTCCAAACGTACGCATACGAAGGGCAGGGGTCACCCTCCGGCTCCATCAGTTCTCTGGACCTCCCTGGACCTCCATCAGAGCCGGAGCCCCCTGAGCCAGACGACTGGGGGCCTGAGGTGAACACACTGGCCAGACTTTTCCAGGAGCGAGGTGGCCAGTGCACCCTATAGTGGCGGCGTATCTTTGATCGCCCCGAAATTGTATCGTCTTTCTCTTCACCGTTGTTCAGATGATACCGCACAGACGGCTGCGCATTTTTTTCTCCTCTTGTCCAAAATTGCTGTGGGATTATTTTGATTTATGGGTTCTACTAGTGGAACATCATATGTTGTTTTTTGTTTCCCTTGGAAGAACCTTTTTTTTTTTGAAGAAAAAAGTACAAAACTGAGACAAGGACTGACAAAGGAAACTATTTTCCCTGGTGTATATTTTATATTTGCTTAATAAAGTTCATGATTCCAGATAAGTAAATCTGACATTTTTTTTAATTAGCACAAACTTACTGCCATTAGGCCAATCAAATCACACAGAAAACGTTACCTGCTCATGCAGACTTTTTCCCTGGGAGACGTGTGGAATTGTGGGATGAAAGGTATTTTGTTAGTGTTTTGTGCTTCGCTTACAGTACATGGATGTTCATAACTTCTCTATGGAAAGCAATTTTTACCAGATACAGGAGAAAAAAAAACTGCCTATGTCAGCAGTATGTCAAAATATTGACTTAATATCTCAAAATACTGATTTGTTTCCTTAAAATATTGACTTAATATTGCAAAACAATTACTTAGTTCTCAACATATTGATCTAATATCTTTAAATAATGGCTTAGTTTCTACATATGGTGACTTCCTATGATAACATATTGAATTAGTATTTCATTTTTTTTTAAATATTGACTAAAAATCTCAAAATATTGGTTTATTGTCTTGAAATACTGACCTAATATGTAGAGATAAGCCTATTTTCTTAAAACATTCTCCCAAAAAAGTCTCACTTGTTTTCTCAACATTTTAAACCATTATTTTGACAGTTCATATTTTAAGAAAATAAATATTTTGAGATACTAACTCAGTATTTTGAGTAAAAAAAGTAAGTCATAGTTGCAAGATACTAAGATATCACCTCTAATATACTAAATTAATACTTTGAGAAAAATTATTAGATACCAGATAATTTTTTAGAATTTTTTTGAGATTATTATAATTTCAAGATACTAAGCCAAAATGTTGACATACTGCTGCCAGAAAGAAAGAGTGTGAAAAAAAAAAAAAATAGGTACATTTTCTTTCCTCTTCTACCTGGCCATATGTGACTTTTTGTGTCCAGATCCAAGTTTACTGAGACCTTTTCTGGCCACTCCACACACTTCCTTCCTCAGGTCACAGGGTATACAATTCAACATAAATCACCATTGTCAAAAGCCAGAAAATAACTTATTATAATTCTCGAGAGCTGGATGAGTTTTAATTGGATAACAACAGCAGTCTGTAAAAGATAATTGGATTCAAATGCTTCAGTGGGCAGCTTTTATTACTTTCCCAGGACTTATAAATCAACTGTGAATAGTCTGTGTTTGCAATCTAGTCCTGATCAATTCCCCAGAGCGCCGCCGCGTGCGCACAAAGCAGCCTCGAAAGGCGTTTTAATGTCTACTGTAATGCTGATGATGATAATGATCGCTCTGGACCCTCCGCGTTCCGCTATCGTGCGGCGTTGCTTGAGACGACGACGCTCTGAATGCTCGATGGGTTTCACACATGGCTGCATTTCATGTTCTCTCAAGTCAGTTGCATCACCAGAGCTTCTCCAGACGGTAGTGAAAATGTGCAAACACTGTCAGGTAAAACAACCATTGCTGTCGGAAAGCGGCAGTGAATTTGTGTAAACGCTATACGAGGTTAAATGAGTGTTGTGGAAAACGACAACGATGGCAGAAGTTCTCATTAAGCACAAAATCTGCCTGCTGATCTCGTGGCTGGTTGGCGTGGTGCTCCCATTGCATCTCCTTAACTGCTGACTAAATGTGCCTTGAAATGTAACACTGTGACCAAAATTACAATTCTTAAGTGTCAAGAGTCGTGACTGTAATTTTGTTGTTATTTTCCAAGATATATGGAAATCCTAATTGGCTGTTTAAGATTAAATAAGAGCGAGTCACAGCTCCACATATTACCATAGTACGACGGGAACAAAGGCTAGCATTGCTGAATAATTCATCAGTTTGTGATTGTTTCAGGCTGTGTGGTCAGGCCACGTTAAATCAAACCGTGCAGCTGTGGCGGCTTTCAAACAGCCGCCATGAAGGCAGGAACGAAATGCTTCCCCCTCTCTTTGAAGAGAGGAAGTAGACATGCTTAGCCCCTCGCTAAGGATATCTTATCTAAATTGGTATTCAAGAGGCTGACATTTAATTAGCAAATGTAATTATTATGATAATAATTGCACCTTTTGCTCTTAATTTTCACCTCACACAATTTCATTTGCGCTCTGATCAAGCTGCTGTGCCCTGAGCAGCTAATTGCCTGGTGTGGCAGTGCAGATAACTCCTCATTACTGAGGGGGGGAACTGAACAGAGTGTCTTAAGTCTTTGGTTGAAAAGTTCAGCCAAAACACAATTGAGTCGTAAGAGGGAGCGAAGCAACATGACAGGCATGATCCTGTTGTTACTTTGTTAGACTGACGGTAGAAGTGTCATTTTCACAGCATACGCATTTAAATGAGACGTTTCTGAAAAGCATTTCTGAAAATGACCCAAATTGTTTATGTGGAAAGCAATTATAGAGCGCTAATAGGCACTAATTAGCATTAGTCTCATAATAACAAGTCCCATGCAGATTTGCAGCTAATGTGTTATTTTGGTAACACTTTACTTGAACACGGCTGAATAACGCTGGCATAACCATGTTATAAACACAGCTTGGCAGGTGTCATATGCTGTCATGAGTCGTCATGACAGATTTTGATCAATAATATAACATTGTCATATCACTATTACTTTAAACTGTCAAAATGTTTCAAAATGTTTGACATCATGATGGCTAACTAGAGTAAAAATTAGTGTGTTATGTAAGCTGTCATGACTTCAAACTTCATAGTATCTGTCCCAAGAACAGCCAGTAATGGTGACATGACACTGTTAAAATCCCTATTCCTAAAAAAGTTGTGACAGTCAGTAAATTGCAAATAAAAACAGAAAGCAGTGATTTATTAACTGTATTTCAGATATATTTGATAGAAAACAGCATGAAGAAGATATGTTTAATATTTTACCTTATAGTCTTTACTGATTTTTGCAACTACATGCCAGCAACACATTCCAAAAAAGTAGAGATAGGGCAGTGTAGGACTGGGAGATTTATGGAATGATCAAAAACACCTATTTCGGAACTTTCCACAGGTCCACAGGTAAACAGGTTAACAGGTAATAGGTGATGCGACCATAAATTGAGCATTAAGGAGCATTTATGAAAGGCTTAGGCACCACTTTACAAAAAAAGTCCATAGCCGTATTAAAAGATTCAGAGAATCCAGAGAAATCCCCAGTCATAAAGGTCAAGGCTGAATGCCTGCAACCTTCAAACCCTCAGATGACAGATGATTTGGTAATTAATATAACCACAGGGGCTTGGGAATACTTCAGAAAACCCTTGCCACCAAACACAGTACATCTACAAATATGAGTTAAGACTCTACTATGCAAAGTGGAAGCCATATATATCAACAACATGCAGAAATGCTGCCAACTTCTCTGGGCTAAAGCTCATCTGAGATGGACTGAGGCAAAGTAGATATGTATGCTGTGGTCTGATGAGTCTACCTTTCAGGTTGTTTTTGGAAATAATGGACATTGTGTTTTCCAGGGCAAAGAGAAAAAGGATCAGCCCAATTGTTACCAACACAGAGTTCAAAAGCCATTGCCTGTCATGGTATAGGGGTGTGTTAGTGTCATGGGGGGCATGGGTAAATTGCTTATCTGTGAAGGCACCACTAATGCTGAAGGGGTACATATGCATTTTGGAGCAACATATACTGCCATCTAGATGACATCTTTTTCAGGGACATCCATGCTTGTTTCAGCAAGATGATGTCAAGCCACATTCTGCACATGTTACAACAGCATGGCTTCGTAGTATGAATTAGTATCTCCCATTTTGAAATGTGTAGTACATTATGAAAATTTCATTTCTACAACTACAACAATTGGTGTCCTCAATTCCCAAACAGTTACTGAAAATTGTTAAAAGGGATGTAACACTGTGGTAAACATGCCCCTGTCCCAACTTGTGGGACAAGTTGCAGGCATACAATTTAGAAGAACCATACATATTTACAAAAACCATTGAGGGTAATTAGTTGATACATCTTGTCTTTGTACTGTTTTCAACTGAATACAGGAAAAAAAAAAAATGGCGACTCCTGGCAAACATATGGATAATGTTTCTCCAAAATGTCTTGACGTCTGTTTGGCTTATCAGGCTCTGTGCCCAGCTACATAAAACACCTCAGGAATTCTCTGGAACGTGGGGGGTTCCAGAGAATTTGATTATCCGTGTACATTTTATGTGACTGACCCATTATGCCGGAAACCCTTCATTCTTCATTCAGTCCACATCAAAGACACATGTGGCGAGTCAAGAGTTTACAGCTGCTGAATTTGCTACAGTAGTGATGAAGATAACAGAGCCTTATGATACGACACATATGGGTATCATGATATGTGCAAGTACCTTTAAAGGCGAATTTTAAAAGATACAAAAATCAAGAAAATGCCCTCAGACCTTTTTTTTTCAGAGTTTTGGGAAATTTGATTGTTCAGGTAACATTTAAGGGTGTATAATGATTTCACTTTAGGAAAACTAAGCAATACCCTAAGAGTTTTTTGTGCAACAGGGTGGCTTTAAGGGAAAATTTAACTTTAAGTATTTTATGCAACCAGACACTGGGCTTAGACTTAATAGCTTGTCTGTTATTTCTCTGATTGTATCCATCCATCTTGCTGCTGGACGTCTTTTTCTCTTTTACCTTCAACTTCGCCAAGCATAATTATCTTTCCCAACAAGTTGGTTCTTATGAGTTCAAAATAAAATTGAGTTTAGTTATCTGGGCTTCAAGTAAGAGGTGAGGTTTGATTAAGTTAAGGATCTAGTTATTTGTTTTCTTTGCCATCCA